CCTTACATTACATCTGATTTCAAGTATTTGGTTTGAAGGGTCTCCGGTAACAAGGTGGATGGCGAAAGGATCCTAAATAGCAAAGCCGATCATCCAAGACTAATGAGGGGGGAAGTACAAAAGCACCAAAACACTTTGACCCTTCGTCTTCACAATAAGAACGGGTTTTCTTAGTGCTATTTGAACATTTAAAATTAAAATCCTTTCTGGATTCTGGACGGTTGGGGTTTTAAAGAGTCAAAGCCCAATAGCGTTTTTTTTATTGGTAGAATATTGATAAATAAAAATGAAAATTAAAGTATACGAAGGATCATTTGTATATTTAATTAATTTTGGATAATTAAGTACATCTGGATATATGTGTTTTTTATCTTCTTCCTAAGTTTTGTTTTCGGTTTTATTTTAATTTCTAAACTTTTAATTGATCCAATTTAATCTTTTAATTATTTTTAATTTTGTCTCAATTAAGTATTTTTGTCTATTAACACCATTAGATCAAAATGAAAATATAAGATTTAATGCTTGAAATAATCAAATTAGGCTAGTCTTTGGTTGATCAAACTCTGGAATAAGATGAAATTACTTAATTGAGACAAAATTGATAATTGATAGACTAAATTTAAACAACTAAAAATTCAGTGACCAAATTAAAATAAAATTTAAGAATCAACTATGATATTTACCCAAATAGATTAGATTGGGCTAGTCCCGAGTTGATATAACAGTAAAATAAGATGGAATGACTTAATTGAAACGAAATTGATAATTGATGGACTAAATTTAAACAATTGAAAACCCAACAACCAAATTAAAATCAAATTTATAAATCAACTATGATATTTACCCTTCCTTATATCATATGGTATATCTTTAGAGTTGTGCCTATCAATATTCAATTTATTAAAGAATATTGTTGTACTAATGCACCAATGTTGAGTGATTATTTGGTAAAATTTAATTATATAATATAATAATTATTAACTTATTCACATAATTACAAAATTGGAAAATGAAGTATGAAAAAAAGAATGGTGTAATCGGAATAAATTCTTAACATCAAATTTAGTTTCTATTAGCTAAAATTCGATTCAAATTTAATTCAGGGGGACGATGTTAGTGCTAGAGTTCAGGCTCTTGATCAGATGGATTATATCTACAGCATCATTAACCTCGGGTATAGGGTTCTTTCAATATTGTTTTGGAGAAATATTATTAGGACTTAAAAATATGATTTAATTTATTAAATTAATGATATAATTTTATTATAACTATTAAATTAATACCAAATTCTTATGTTCGATGGGACTTACGGTCAATTCAAAAGTTATAGTGAACCACTTCTTAAAATATAATATACTACTCTCCAAACTTAGAAAAATTATGCAGTGTATTAACTTGGATAATTCGAAAGTTGTCTCCTCAGGGAACAGACGACATTTGATTGGTGATGTGCATGCAAACAAAAGTAAAAATCTTTTGACTTGTGGAGGAGGTGAGAAATAAAATTCTAATGTATTGTACCCAATAAAAAAAGAGTCGGTCAATCCTCAAAAATCAACTCACCGTAACCAAACATTTTAACTCAGTTGAGGTTGTACTCCACCGTGTTTGAATGAATAATATTCAACAAAAACCAAGTTATATACTATTATATCTTTGCAGATAGGAAATTGAAACTAAATTACAAGCATTTAGAACGTCCAAATGATTTGTAAGCATTACTCAAGTTGGATAAACCGTAGACAACAAATCAAAGTAGTCACTTAGCAACTAATGTTCAAAATTAATTTTTTTTTCTACAAAAAATTTGACCGGTTAGAAACCATTATAGAATCACTATGCTTAATTATGGAAGAGAATCATCTCTCAAATTGAACTGAAACTTAGGCGGAAGTAAAACTCATAATCTCGAAGTACACTTTTTGGTTTCTTATTTTTTTATATTACCTAAGTTTCATTTGTGGTATATTTTTTCTTCTTCGTTATAAATTACAGGGTTTTAAATTTATTTTATAGTTAAAAATATTTTTTCTATAATAAAATTATAATCGACAAAGTTAATGTCAAAATTTCATCAATTTTTAATTTCTCTGTTATCGTCTGTCTTCCACATCGTCACTTGACCTCTCTTCATATATCTCCCTTCATATATAAAATTCAAATATTATTTGATAAACTTTAAAATTAATTAAATAAATTTAGTCTTAATATGATAGAATTAAATATTAATTTGGTTTTAATTTGATAAAATTAAATATTAATTCAGTATTGATTTGATAAAATTTAATGTTACATGAATAAATTTAAATGTTGTTTTAATGAAACTGAATGTTCATTTTGTGTTAAATTAAATAACTAACATTATTTTGATAAGGTTAAATGTTAAAATAATAGAATTTAATATTTTATTTAATATATTAAATTTTAATCTAATAAAATTAAATGTTAATTCTGTGTTGATTTGAAAAAATTAAAAAATAATTTAATATTAAATTAAAGAAATAATATTAATTTGATGAAATAAAATATTAAATTAATATAACTAAATGCTAATTTGATAAAATTAAATTTTAATTTGTGTTGATTTGATGAGATGAAATGTTAATTTAGTTTAAATTAAATACAAGAAATTAATTTGATAAAATTAAATATTAAATTTATGAATCTAAAAGTTAATATAATAGAATTAAACGGGAGTGCATTGAGATTTCATAATCAAGAAGGCATATTGTTAAAGATAAGTCTGTTTACAGGGGGTGTCGTTGAAGTTCTGTCGATTTATAAGGGGTGTGAATAAAATTTAACTCTATAAAATATTTAAAGATATTTTTGTAAATTGACAATTGCCGTTAACGCCGTAATCCAACAAACACCGAAAGGGGGTGGTAATGAAGTTTCAGAATTGGGAGGAGATATCATTGAATTTAGACCTAATTACAGAAGATGTGGATCAAATTTTTGCTAGTTTCTATTTGCTAAAATTCAATTCAAATTTAAGGAATATTTTCATTTTGTACTTTAAAAAATTATCACTTTTCCACTTTACAATCTAAAAGATAAAAATTCTTACATTTCATCCAAAAAGAAATAAAAAGGTAACAATTAAGTCTAACACCTAACTTCCGTTGAGTTGACCAAATGCTTTTTTAATCATATGCAAAACACGTGCTTAACATAGAAGGGTAAGGTCGTAGATAAACCATTTTGGCGCACCACGTGAAATGCGAATAAATGTTGAGTGTAAGTAACAGTCCAATAAGAAAAGAAAAAAAATAAAATAAAATAAGATCTACTTTTTATCATAAAGATAATTATCTCTAATATGGTTGGGTGGTTATAAGTTTTTATAGAGTTTATTTATTAATTTGTTTATTTATTACTATACCATTACCCCATGTGGCAATGGTAAAATAATAGAGTAATGCTAGATTGATTAAATTTAGAGCCCAAATAACATGACAGTTGATTATTTAAAATTTTTATTAGGACCCAAATGACATGACACCAATCAAAAAAGTCCAAGTCAATTGTCATGTCATTTGAACTTTAAATTTGATCAATCTAGCATTACCGAAAATAATGTTACCACCGTTATATTTTCCTGAATTGCACGTCTTAGTTCTGTCCACGTGGTTATATCAACCCATACAAATTAACATAAAATAAAGGGTTAATCTCATTTTGCACTTCGAAAGGTCGTTCAAATCTCAATTTGTACTCCCAAAGATCAAAAATCTCAATTTGCACCTTCAAAAATAAAAATTTATATCAAAGTACACCCCCAAAGATAAAAAATCTCAATTTACACCCTCAAAGATAGAAATCCGTATCAATGTGCATCTAAAACTAAATTGATAAATTATACCTAGATCCCCTCATGTTTGTCACTTAATCATTTGAACCCCTTCACATTTAGAATATTACCCATACATCTCATGACGTTTGTACATGTGTAAACATAATCACTTTTCGTTGATATTTGTTAATATAATCGTTAAAAAATATGATTTTATCCTAATAAAACATTATAATTTCATATTACCCTTTATTTTGTGGATTCGATATACTCTAAAGTTCAAAATCAAGCTTACTATTTGAATGTCTAATAGAATGTAGATATTTATATAAAGGAAAATATGAAAAACATTATATAAATATCTACATTTTATTAGACATTCAAATGGATTTTGAACTTTAGAGTATATTGGACACATAAAATAAGGGTAATATGAAATTATAATTTTTTATTAGGATAAAATTATATTTTTTAACAGTTATATTAACAGATATCAATGAAAATGAGTTACATGTTGTACGTGCATAAATGTCATGAGATGTAGGAGTAATATTCTAAATGTAAAGATGTCCAAATGATTAAGTGACAAGTATGAAGGGATTTAGGTATAATTTATCAATTTAGTTTTAAGTACATAATAATACAAATTTTTATATTTGAGAATGCAAATTGAGATTTTTTTATCTTTGGGGTGCACATTGATATAAATTTCTATCTTTGAGGGTGTAAATTGAGATTTTTGATCTTTGGGGGTACACATTGATACAAATTTTTATCTTTGAGGGTGTAATTTGAGATTTTTAATCTTTGGGAGTGCACATTGATACAAATTTTTATATTTGAGGGTGTAAATTGAGATTTTTACTCTTTGAAGGTACAAATTAAAATTCGAACGATCTTTCGGAGTATAAAATGAGATTAATCCTAAAATAAAAACATTCACTTTACTTCTAAACTGATTCAACAATGTCGTTCCTAAAACAAGAGGCCTTTCCTTAATTTTAAGTTCAGCATACAATGAGTTCTGCAATGTGCACAGGGCTATCAACCCGATAAATACAGAGTATAGATCTGTTGCAAAGAAAGAAAAAAGCAAAAAAAAAAAAAGCAAAAGTTTTTGTGATCATCATCCCCATTAGCTTTTCCGATCCTCTACCAATCAATCATACCCAGAATTGAAACCTCCAAAAATCATCTGCTACGATCATATTTTCTCGGGCTTCAACGATTTCCCTCGATCTCTGTGGCAAATTTGCACATGCAATACATTATGAGCACTTGGAATGAACTTGAAGAAACATGTGTCCCCAATAGCCAACTTGTTTCCCAGACGGAAGTCAGACCAGCCGTGCATTATATCGACCCTGCCACCGCTCGTATGCCTCACCACCAGCTTAACAGGCCACAACCTTTCCTCCGGATCTCTCAGCACCATCTTTTTCTCACGCACAATTCCAATCCCTTTAGCAAAACGCACAGGAAGAGACTGTGACAAATGACAATCAAACAAGCTGTAACTCTGTGAGACACGTGGAGATGCATGGCAATATAATTTAATGCAGGTGAAAAAAAGCATGTCGTTCTTACACAAAAACTTATGTTGTATTTGTTCAGAATTCTTTCATAGCTTAGAGTAGTCATGGCTTCACCCACATCATCACCCTCTTCGTCTTCCTCAGAAATGGTGGGTGAATTGTTGACAGAAACAACCGTTTTTTTACGGCCTATTTCAATTACATCTAACTGCTTTTCACAACAGTTTCTTCCATATACTGAAACTTCAAACGTTGAATCACCATTCAACCAAAAAACACAAAAATCACCGACTAATAATTTGTTGGCTTCCACGAATTCCGGCCAACCTGTCGTAAACCAATATTTTTCATTGGTTTTCTCCATGCTCACAACCCATGATTTCCCACATGTAGTTTTGAGCACCGGATTTTCAATAAATCTTTCTTTGTATGTCTTCACGAAGAAAGGTGGTAGTTGCTACACACAAACACACACACACACACATATTGTCAGTAGATTTTTTACAACACCCAACAGATAGAGAGAGAGGAAAACTTACGAGCTTGGTGCCAAAGTCACCGATGATGACCTTGAAGAAGCTTGGTCTGGAATTCGGCTGGCTAGCCATTTGATACAGCTCCTTTAGCTACCCTTTTCAATGAAAATTTGTTTGTTAGAACATCAATTGCCCCAGACAGTAGACACTCATCCAAAATCAGTGGAATCAAAAAATTGTTCAACGGAAGAAAAAGCTAATGAGATGCGGATAAACGGGATAGAAATCAAAGAAAAACTGAAAACCTAAAAAAACATGACAATTATCACACCATCTACCTTCATAACAAATTCTTTTACCTCAATTTTACCAAACTCAGTTGAATCCCAACACTTAGTACCACTTATTTGTTAAGCACTTTCACTTTCCCCTGCCAAAAACAAAGTTTTAACCACAAAATGTAAATCTCTTCCCATTCAAGATAGTGGTCAGTAATTGCATATAAAAAATAAATCCCACCTAAAAGAACCCCTTATTTTTATAACTCAATGGCAATCAAGAGTTTTTACCAACCTCTCAAACATAGTTCATAGAACAACTACTAGCTACAACAAAAATAGACATTGGAGCAATAATTTTTAACATCTTTCCATTAATGTATCTAAGAAAGAAAAAATTATGTACAACAAAACTATTATGTCAATAACACTTAACCCCAATACCCCTTGCTTATTCAATAGCATATGAAAATAGCTAGTTCAAGCTATAATGTAGTTCCATAAATACCAAATATCCATATACATCAAATATGTCCACAAAGACAGAAAACTTAACTCATATCAAAACACTAACCTTGCAGGTGACTCACACCCTCAGCTCAGGCGACTACCCACCACTTTTTTTTTGCGTGTGGCTTGTGGCTTCGAAGAGAAGGCGGCGAGAGTCTCTGAGACTCGAAGAGGAGGAGGCGCTAGGTATCAATCGACTGAGAAGAAGAAAGAGAGGAGAGTCTCTGTCAGAGGAGGAAGATCAATCGACTGAGAAGAAGAAAGAGGGAGAGTCTCTGTCCGAGGAGGAGGAGGAGGAGGAGGATGGTTTCTCTTCGGATGGTGAAAGGGGTAATGTTTGGGCGGGATATTTTTTTTTTTTGTTATTATTGTGATGAATTGTCTACCGTACGATCCAATTAGATTAAGTTGGATAAAATCTAGATCGTTTAAAATAAATTGGAAGAAATCTGAACCGTCTTTCTATTTTCTATTTTGGGAATTTGACTTCAGCTCAGTTTTATTCAAAGCAGCACTGGCGTGCGAAGAAAGGAAAGGTTTAATTATACAATACTCCCTTCAACTTTATGTAATTTGTTATTTATCCTTTTAAATTTTAATTTCAATAAATAACCCTTTTTAAGTTTAAACATTTTACAATTAACTACAAAATTAATTTTTTTTTCATAAAGAATGACATAAGTTATTTGTTGAAAAGACATATTTACCCTTGAAAAAGTGTGTGTTTTGATGTGTGCACTCGTGTTTTGGTATAAGGCGGAGATGAAGGTGAAGGCAACCATGGTATCTCAAGAAGAAAATATGAGAAATAATGTATAAGATGGAGGATGTAATATTACATTCATGTTTCAACCACTATTTTTAATTAATTTAGTTTGTTTGAAACTTGGAGGGGATAAATTATAATGTTTGAAACTATAAAAAATTGATTGCAACAAAAGATATAGTTGAAGGGAACAAATTGTAATTAATCGTAAAGGAGAAGATCCACTGGAACCTTACCTTATTTAGTGAACAGTAAAGAGATAGTTGTAAATTACAGTGACATCCCTTCCTTGTTCTTGATTTCTTCACTGTAGTCCTTTGTTCTCTTTTAGCCAGTGAAGAGCAAACAAGAAGCCCAAACTGTTGCCGGGCTGGGTTTTGAATAGGAACGAGATGAAGAGAGTCCATGGGACAACTCAATAGGAAAAACTATTTCGTAAGCATTTATATATATTTTTTTTTTCGAAAGAAGAAGAATAAAATTGAACTTGTATGAAATGAAAGAGTTTTATAGAAATTGTTTTGATTGTCGGATATTATTGAAAACAAAATACGAAGAAGTGTTATCGAACGATATATTTTAATGAATAATGCTATTTAAACTTAAAAATTTGACCTAATTTGTTGATATAATGATGTGGTTTCATAGGAATCATTGGATCAACACCAAATTCAAACGTTTGATGGGCCCTATAGTCAATTTAAAGATCACAGTGAATTAGGTCAGTAAATTAGATTCCAATAACATTGTTCTATTTTAATTATTAATTTAGACCTTCAAATATTAAAAATCTCAAGTAATATAAACGTGACACAGACTACTGTTCAATTTTTCGTTATCAATTGAAGTACATGAGTTAACAAGTACCTTGGTCATGGGCTTATGTGTAAATTTACAAAATGTTGATGCTTTATGTGAGTTGCACATGATAGAATTAGCATGTATTTGATTAATAAAACTTTATTTTTTGATACACAAAATAGTGTCAAATTAATTGCCAACAACGATCTACAACAATGAACATACATTGTACCCTCACTTTGCAGCTCACGTGCTTCAATTTATGATAGAAAATTGAACAAAGTTTGGGTTAGATCCACATTGTTACCAATTCATAGCACGAAGAGTGTAAATTAAAATTTTAATATTTGAGGGTATGAATTAAAAATCAAAACATCTTTTATGGTACAAAATGATATTAAAAATCAAAACACCAACACATTGAGAGAGTATTGTTAAAGGGTGATGGAATTCTTAAGATTGGAGTTAGGTAGTGAATGGATCCTGGGATTCATTTGAATTTCTTGTTCATGTCTATTCAGTTATTGTTTTGATAAAATTATGATTTCCAAATTTATTTGATTAAATATTGTATTTTAAATGATATGTTAAAATTCTGTGCATTAAATGTTTCGGTGGAAGTTAGTGGACCCTAATAATACAACCACTCATGCGGATTTAGGATACAAAATTTAGTAAATAATTTGATAGTTATGCTAAGTTTCTGTACATTTGCATCATAAACTTAAAATTTTCTAATTATTGAAAGACCACAGCACCATGCTTGAGAATTGCAAAATAAAAATAAAAACAGAGGGAATGAAAGAAGTTATGCCATTCACTATAGAGGGAGCGAGAGAAGTATATAGATACAAATGACACATATCTAAAAAATAGTGTGAACGAGATATGTTATAAATACCCATTTTAGAAAATCAAGAAAAAAAAAAAAACTTGGTGTTAATGTGCCCTTCTCTTTTTGAATTTGAAATTCCCATAACAACTGATATAGAGGTGGAAAACAGATATTTGCAATGCAAGGAGTCTGCACCAGAGACTGCTTTTCCTTGATATGCACTTACAAACCCCGTCTTGTTGCTGTTTCATCTGAGCAATCTTTGGAAACTTCTGATGATTGGAATATGCATTTCTTTGGGAAGTGAATTCATTGAATTCACCACTGAGCTGGTGGTCTACTTGTAAATTGTATCTGGTTAGGATTGTCATTTATTCCTATGTAATTATCAAGTAAGGTTTAATTTACGGAAGCAACGCGATTTATTTTTTAGTTTTGAAAGTATTGTGGTGACTGATGTTACCTTGAATATGTCTAAAATTGAGCTCGGTAATTCGAGTCGTGCTGTCCTAGATCGAGAGCCCACTTTGCTTCAGTTACCCATAGAGCTCGAGTCCAAACCCCAAGCTCCCTACATCTATCTCACAAGGAGGGCCACATAGAAGACAACTGACGTCCACCAAACACCACCTCAATAGTAATAGTCGCTTATCCAGACATAAGAATCATAACTGCCCCAACACTCTCTACAACTGTTGCGGGATAGAAGAAGCAACAGTTACAAAAAGGAACAAGAATCGTGCCAAGGATCAAGTGAAGCTTGGGGCCAACTATAAATAAGGGGTATAACCCCCAGTAATGCAACAAGCAATTGTAACCTAACTCAATATTTTGTGTAAATCCCCCTCTATCAATATATTCTCTCATAGCAAGAGACTCCATTGAGAGTAGATTAACTGAGCTCTCGAGGTAGTGAACCACTATAAACCTTTTGTGTGTTAATCCCATTCTCCTGGTTCAATTCTCGAGAGCCTAAAAGCTTAGACTAAATCACTCGGTGCTCACTAATTCCCCACTTTTGCTTCATCGTGCTAGACTCATTATCAGTGACAAATTGCTTCAGGATTAGTAATTATGGCTAAAAAATGAGAGGGACCTACTGATCATCCCTCTCATTTTTTCCTGACCCAAAAAAAAAAAAAAACTTCATTGAATTCTGAATTTACATCCTCAGCTTGTTTTTGAATCACAATATCATTACGATATGAAGAATGGTATCGTTCTAATATGTGGTGTATGTGATAAGGCGTCTTGTTCATTGAATATGAATGGATTCTAGTCCCTGTTGGGTATTTTGTTTAGGTTGTGTGGATGATAGGAATGAATGGATTTTGATTTTTTTTTTGGGTGTGTTTCTGCATTTGATATCAGAAGTTTGTTATCGGTACATATCAGTGTAGCTCATTGCTTTATAAAAAAAAATGCAGTTTTGGCCAGGTTAGTTGTCTTTACCTTACTTAAACTAAGGATCATGAAAATGGTTTATTATATTCCAAGAGCTTGTGATTCAAAATAAAAAGTACCTATTGATGTTGATGATCAAGATTAGCAAATCTAAGAATCCAATAGTTTAGCTGCCACCTTTCTTAAATGGGTTCGAGTTTGTTGATGGATCATTGTCACCAACCACTACATATAGTTCACATTAGAAAAAGGGTAATTTATCATTAATACCCTTAAAGTATGCACTCAATTTTTATTTGGTCCCTAAAGTTCTAATTGCAACAATTAGATTCTTCAACTTTTAACCTAGTTTCAATTCATTCATTCTACCCCGATCTATTAAATTGTACCAATAGAAAGACAGAACAGAACTTATCCACAAGGGTGGCTTTGTCCTACAAAAAATATCTCTCCCAGACACATTGGTATTTCTCCCCGCGTCTCATAATATCTCTCAAATTTTTATTTTGTATCCTTTTTTTCGGGTTCGTTATCTTCTTTTTCTTAAAATTTAATGAAATAAAATAAGTTTTTCTAATCTATACATAAAAAATATGCACCAAACAAATATATCTCTTTACCCAAGTGACGGGTTTGTTACGAAAGGTTATTCTGTCAAAATAAATTAGTGATTTTGAATGTAAGGACTAAATTAAAAGAATTAAAATTTAAAGGACTTGATTGTTGAGACTAAATAGGAATTAAGTGTATAGTTTAATGGTGTAAATTGTAATTTGCCCTTTAGAAAAACAGCTTCCCCACTAAGGTTAGCAAACAGTTTTTTGTCAAACATGCTTCCATTTTTAGCCTTTTTTGCCCTTTTTTGTAAAGGTCCTGCATATCAGTAATATATACTCTTCTTCCTCGATCTTGCAGATGAATTGGTATCTTTTACTAAGGAAAAGCAGGGTTATCATCATGTCCTTAAAAGAATGGTGCAGTTTCATCGCACCCTTTACCAACTTTTTTGGATTTCTAACGAGATACAACTCCTTTGTTTTTTTGCATTCTCCGACTATTCTTTTAAATTTTGAGTCGATCACTGTAATTTAAATTACTTTAAAAAAAACATAAGATCCCCACCTTTCTTTTTGTTTGATTAATTGTCACATTTTTAGGTAAAAATAACCACTAATTTCATTTATACATGCCATCAATAAAGTCGAATTCAGTATATATGCATAAATTTGTCATTTTTATACATGATAAGTGATCCAGTATCGAGAGAGATTGAAAGAAATCTGTTCACCTTTTCGGTAGTACAAAGATCCACTCAGGCATACTTAGAAGAAGGCAGAATTTGCAGAAAAAGAAAAAGAAAAAAACCTGAAAAAGAAAGTAGCACAATGATTCAATCTTCTGCCATTATCTCTCCATGGCGAACCTCAATGGGTGTGGCCCAGGAGTAATAATTAAGATAAGCCAGAGTGAAGAGGGTCCCCCATTACCTTTGATCAGCCGATTCTTGATTTTCTTTTCTTCTTTCTTCAATGCAGTAATGATGTGATCTTTACTTACCCTGAAAAAAGGGGAAAAAAAAAATGATGCGGTCTGGATAATACAAGGAATACGTGGTTGTTGAAGTTAAGGCACTCAAGCTAAAGTAACGATACGGATACGATACGATACAGATACGGGTGATGCATATTCGATACGTATCATCGAGTATCCGACAAGTATCGTATCCGATATGATATCGGATACGGTACGTCGACTTTAACGAAGTATCCGTACTTCATAGGACTCAAGTGTTTAATTTCTCCTCCCAAAAAAAAGAAAAAAAAATATATATTTATTCATGCATGCAGACTTCAACCAAGGCTGGAATGAAGCTGCCCTCTCAATTTGTTGAAACTGCAACTAAATGAGATTATTGGGATCGATTTTAACGTTTGTGTCACAATTTTATATATTTTAAGAGCGATGCCAATCTTTATTTTTTTTTCACAACTTAGTTTTTAAATTGTCTCAAAAAATTATAACATGATGCAGAAAGTTGGTAACTTTTTTAGTACAATGTGTCATTCGATACCGTAATTTTATCCTATAATTCACATCATTTTTTTTTAATTTTTACCTTTTCTTTGTTTTGAAAGTCTGAGAAAATGACAAAATGTTTGTTATGAGACTGATTGAAACCTCAGTTGAGTGAATCAACATCCTTGGACTTAATTATTGGTCAATACAATAATCTAGAAGAGCTACGCATGGTGCTTGAACAGGCACCAGATTGTGACATTTGTTTGGGATAAAATATCAAAATCGGCAGATCTTACTGCCTCAATAAATTTTTGTCATTAATTTTTATTGAATGATTTACAATCATTAATTGAAAAAATAATACAAAATTATAATGCATTTTTATTGGCTAGAAAGTGAGAGTTCGGTACCAAGAAGAAGATTAGATCATGAACCATCTTATGCAGCATTGACATTAACAGATAAATGACTTGAGAATAGTTTGAATATCAACTACTGGACAGAGAGAACCTATCCATATCAGGGTCCTTTGATCACTTTCAAACCCTGTTTTGGCTTTGAACTAAATGATATGATAAACGCCATCTTTGACCCTGCATTCAAATGCAAGCTACAGGTCTCTCTCTCTCTCTCTCCCCACATATATATACACATCCAAATATGTATTGCTGAAAGAAAGCATAGAAAATTCCGTCCTAAAAAAGGAACATAGTATTGATTCTGACTTCTCTGCACTTGGTACCCATAACATTCAATACAATGGATTGGCACATCTCCTCTCTGTAATGCATCTCTTTATCAAAGAGTTCCCCACAAAATTATAAAGCAATTTTCTTTCCCGGGATAAATGCGAAATTTCTATCTTGATCCATGAATCTCCCCAAAACTAACTAACATGGGAAAGTGGAATTGCCATATCAGTTTAATCCAACCTGTATTATCATCAATGTGAAATGCATCAACCAGGAAAAAAAACGAAGAATTCAAAGTGCCACGGACTTGTGTAATAGCATGAAGAAAGCAAAGCAGTTGAATATTACAGTGAAATTGTGAAGGTGGGGAAGTTTGAGCCAGTTTATATCTGCTTTGAGTTCATCATGACTACCTGAGATGATACAAATATCTAAAGCCAACTCTACAAGATCCCCAGAAGGTGAAAACAAAAAAATTCAAGCAATTAAAAACATAATGAACAAATTCATCTGCTTGCAGCAGAGTGTATCTGGAATAGCAAAAGATCCTCCCCTAAAGAAGCAACTTTTCACGGTGGCTCCAATATGGATATGCCAAACGAAAATTCATCCATCTTTAATTGGAGGTAAAATAGCACACCTGTTTTTTGGCTTACTCCTCTTCACCTTCAGCAACAGTTGGAAGTTCACCATCTTTGATAAAGGTTGGGTTAAGAAACTTCGCCACAAAAGCCCAGAGGTTATAAACATCCTCAAAGTTTGTCAGAAAGCTTAGAGAAGCAGTGACGACCTCAACTCTAATGAATCCACTTTCCCATCATGTCGGCCATTCTCCATTGGTCTGCATAAGGTAGTATCGTCAAGATTCATACCAAGTTGCTGCTTCGGGCTTTCTAGTATCCGTATATGACTAAGGATACCAACACCAAGGGAGATACCATTTGCCTCAGCCAGCTTCTGAACAACTTCTGGATTGACGAGACCCCTGTTTCTGTCTCTCACATTAAATGCCACGGGCTGCACCCTTTCATACTTTATTTTGGGCCATAGATGTGAACCAGCGGGACAGAGTCACCTCCATTTGAACTAGGTAATCTTAGTTGGAGTAACGATGTCACAGCCAATTGATCAAGAACCGCAGCCTGGATGTGG